CTGTCCCTGATGAACTAGGGAGTGGACCAGAGTTCTATAATGTAGACTTTACCTTACAGACCCAGCTAAGAATGGCCACAGGGGCCCCACCACCACCACAACGTAAGTATAGCAATCCACCCAAGATATGGCGTTGTTCACCGTGAAGTTCTCTGTAGCTTAGTTTGTTGGGAGTATATGGCAAGAATAAGTGTCTTGACTGTGAATATATGAAAATCATGTGAATTGCATGATTGAACTACAAAATAAGAAAAAACAAAATATGTGTTTCTTATTCTGCAGTTCACATATTTATATGATTTTCCAATATTCACAGGCATTTATTCATCACTTCACGGGTTTATTTGGAACCAACATTAATTTAAATAATGACCAGTTCCCAGATGGCTTGTCAGCACAGTTTGTAGAGCACTGCACAGGTATCACAGAGGTCGTGGGTTCAAATCTGGTACAGGCCTGAATCTTTTTCAAGCCTTAATTTCACTACTGCTTAAGCAGTGTTCATTATTGCGAAGATCACTTTCTTATCAACAAGTGCCCTGTGGGAACAAGGAAAATTTTGAAGGCAATTTTGTAACTTGCATTAATAACTGCTACAGTGGACTTCAAATCTGATGGTTGTATTATGATGTTAATGTAAGAAGTCAATTACATGTTAACAATATTTATTTAATAATTATCCCATGAACATTTTATTTAACTCATTAAATCAATTCACCCATATTTTATCTTATAATCTAAACAAATTTTTAAGAAGAACTTTGTAGTGGTCTCACAGAATATTATGTTAACCTTTCAGCCAACAAAGATTCTTATGCAAGAAAGGTGAGTAACATTCACATTTTCAGTAAAGAAAATTGGTTTAATTAGGAATTGAGTACCGTATTTACCAGTGTAAAGGCTGCACTATGAACTATTGACCTAATCTTAGGGAAAAAAGTTTTTCCAGTAACAAAGCACAATCAAGCCAAAAAGTTGAGAAAACTCTTTCTTTATATTATTTTAACTTTTAAATGGAAATATCTACAACAGACTAGAATCTCATCTTGCCAAGGGAGCAATACTCATAATTGCTTCGTGCAGCAAAATGGAGAATAAGCTGCTTCTGGCTGTAATTCAATGGGTCATTATGCTGGGTCAGTATTTTAATGGTTCTCTATGCTCATAACAATGAATTGCCAAACCCTGGGAATACCATGGATTTAAAAGAATTGCTTGGCAAACTTGATGTAGGTCATTTTTGGTGGAGAAAAATTGGCTGTGTTTTCATTCTCTTTGTCCAAAATGCATTTAATGGTCAAATTGGTAAATCAAAGGTAATCTCTATGCAGTCTGCACTGTAAGTTGAAAATGATAAATCTTTGCCGTGATTTATGATTTCCAGATGCGAATGAGGGGAAGGCGCTATCAAAGCCAGTCAGAGGAACTCAAGGTAAGAGAGGATACAGTAGAGAAAAAGTTTATCATCCTATGAGGTAATTGAAATGACATCCTAGGTAACTGAATTATTTTCTCTATTGTAGGGTATGGTAGAGGATGCTGAGGAGAAAAAAGTCTCAGGAAAGAACAAGAGATTGGGTAAAAAGGTAAGTCACTGGTAAAACATTTTCTGAGTGTTCTTTTTTTTTCATCATAACTTGTGAAGCAGGTATAGATTTGTAAGTTACAAACCAGAGATATGAGTGGAGTGAAAGGTAAAATTTCAGTCACTGACACTGACTCCTTACTGGAGTCTATATGAGTTGAAGTCTTCTGGAGGATACAGCAATTTGAAAGTGAGGTTGGCATCTTGACTAGTTAACAAAATTCTTGTGGTTAACACCCCACGGTGCACTGCTAGAATTTAAGAGGCATTTTATTCGTAATTTTTGCAAGTAGATTTTGACCTGTACAAACATTAGGTCTTGAGAATAAAGGAAATGATCACCAACTTTAGAAGCTCTTGATTGTTAACCAAATTCTCCTTGAATGCACCTTAGGAAATGTTTAGAGAACAGTATGGAGAATATGCATACTGATGTTAGGGTGTAATGGGTTTATAATGCCTAGCAATGAAAAAAACTACTATAGAGTGATGATACTCACTGATTCTTTGAATTGCTTTTTTCTTCTCAGCAAGACTCAGATGAGCCTGAGAAACTTTTGAAGTAAGTTTATCCCACATCCTTGAAAACTGAACACACTCGTTCATTCAAACCTTCTTTGGATTTGTTGCTGCGGCTGGCATGTCTTAATGAGTAGATATAGGGTGTCAAAGACCATGGAGTCAAGCAGGGGAGCTTAAGATATTATAGAGAATTATTATTTACCAAATGAATTTAATTGTTACCAGAATAGTGAGGCATAATGTCTGTTCTTATTTGACTTCTCATTAAATTTTAATAGGGGTAGGAAGTGGAACGAGGCATTAGTGAAACCTAATCTGAATTATAATGATTTCTTTAATGAAGACACTGGCCAAGAACCTGGTGAGATCATCAAAATAAATGACAGTCTTCAATATTGCATTTTACTTGCATTAATTTTAAAATGAAATGAAATAAGACTTATTTTAAAGCATTTACTACATGTAGTCACCCAAAACTGAGGTAGTGGATTTGTGTGTTGTATAATACTAACAATGTTTTATAAAAATACCCTAAGTTTTTTACTGACTCTTGTCAATATTTTTCTCTCATTCTACTTCAATATAAATAACAATTACAGTACCTAAAGGAGACCAAAAATTGTTGCTTTCATTTTTGCAGGTCTGGTAGTATGGCAAATTGAAAATTTCCTGCCAGTTTCAGTTGATGAATGTAAGAGAGTTATTTGAAATCATTTCAACTTGAATACTAATTTGAAATGCCAAGAAGGAAGTAAAGAGAATGATTTTTTAATTCTTATTCTTTCTCTTGATAGTGTTTTATGGAAAGTTTTATGAAGCTGACTGCTACATTGTTCTCAAGGTGACTTTTCTTTAAAGTAATTTTGGTCTTAGTCTTGGTTTCAAAGGGTTGTCTTCAGTTACACATACACTTCTTCTCTGCTTGTCCGGTGGTAACTGATACTTTTTACACACTCAGACTAGTTTTGATGACACAGACCAGTTGTTTTGGCAAATATTTTACTGGATTGGAAAAGAAGCCTCGGTAAGTGTGCCAACCATTTATTAAGTACAAAATAAATAATTTATAACTCATCACTGATTATAAATACTATTGAGAAAGTTATTAATTGTTTATTATCCACTCATGAATGTTGTTGAGCACCAGACTTCCTTGAGGAAGGTCAGGGGTTCATGCACCAGACTGGACTAACACTCAGGGTCTTAAAATAACTGAAGCAAATGAGCTGCCTTTGCTTTGACATCCACAAACAGTTAGACATTCTTGTCTTCTTGCGTAAAAGCAGTAATTTATTGGTTCCGTCTCCTGCATCTTCTTTGTACTGGTTAGCAGGGGATGCTAAAGAACCCACAGACTTCTCGCAAAGAGTGCAGAAATGCAGCTCCTGGTGTTGTAGACATGCCTTGTTATTGTCTAGAGAAGCACCCATTTAGACCAGCTTTAAAGCTTAACTTAGTCAGACTGTCCTTAATATTGCAAATAAATAAATAACTGTGACAGTGGAAAATCATCTCTGGAAGAAATCCCCATTCGAAGCTACCATACTTTGATCTTGAGTTAGATAAGCCTCATGACTAGGAATTTATTGTTTTGTTATTTAGCTTGACAAGAAGGCTTGCTCAGCTATCCATGCTGTAAATCTAAGAAATTTCCTTGGTGCTGAGACACGGACTGTGGTTAGTTCTTCGTTGTTTACTTTTGCTTCTGTACTTCTGTTAGTTCATTTGACAAGTGTTGAATTGATAGGTCACAAGATCACATGTCAGTCAAATATGAAAATTAAAAATAAAAGCAAAGGTTGGCAATAGTGTAGTACTCCTAAGTAATGGTATCTTTTGTCTCTAAAGCGTGAGGAACAGGGAGATGAGTCAGAGGAATTCTGTGAACTGTTCGAAAATGGCCTCAATTATGTTGAGGGTAAGGAATAACATTTTAGCAGTATGTGACTGTTTGTTAAATTGAGCAACTTGCTTTCTTTCAATATTAGCCAGGCATATAATGACTTAATTTAGCACTGACAGCAGTTAACCCTTAAACTCTCAGAAGTGCTTAACGCATAACTTCTCCTTACAATATCATTAAGTTGTCCAGCTAACAGGTATTGAGAATACTTAAACTTATCAGGTAGAAGTTGTTATCTTGATCTAACACAAAATTCCCATAACTAATTTATAAGGAAATATGTAGCAGTTAGAGAGAATAATTAATATTAAGATCCTGGGAATGAAACATTTAATAACATTATCTAATATGTTGTATAACTACAGGTGGTACAGCTAGTGGATTTTACACAGTTGAAGATCCAGTAAGTATGTACAAATGAGCTTTCTCATGGTGTAACAAGGCTACCTCAAACTTTACCCAAGCTTTGAAAATTTCAGCTTTATTTTTTCATGATCTAGTGATCCTTTGCAGTGATTTGTTCGTGAAGATTGTTTCAATCTTTTGTTAGATCTACCCTACAAGGCTTTTCAGGATTCTCAATCAATCCAAAGTACAACTTGAGCCAGTAAGTTCTTGAATTTGTAACAGTGTCCATCCTTCTTTTTTCTTACAAAGTGCATTTTGGTTTTATCAGTTCACATCCTATCATTTGCACACTCCAAGAATACTCTTTTGGAATACATGTATTTATAGATAAATATACAAACCTTTTTTTTTTTGCTTGGCAGGTGGAAGTGAGCACTTCATCTCTGGATCCAACTTTCTCATTTGTATTAGATGCTGGACTTAAGATGTTTATTTGGTCTGGAGCAAGGGTGAGTGTCTAATTGCTTTTGATATTTAAGTTGTATGCATCACAGCCTTGAATGATTATTTGCAAAATCCCTTGGAGATACTGTTGTGTTCCTGTTTTTGAAGGTGACTTGCCAGACTTAAGAACAGTTCTCTTTTACTTAAATGAAAGCCACTTAACAAAAAGAGTTCATCTTCTGTTTTGTCTTCCAGGCAAAAGGAACAATGAAAACAAAAGGAAGGTAATTAAAAGTGATGGGATAATCTTTGGATATTTTATAATTTGTGTAGCTCATATTAGCGGCAAATACAGAGTTAACTGATGGATGTTGTGTCTCTCAACTTGGTCTCATAACAGGTTGTTTGCAGAAAAGCTGAACAAAAATGATCGAAAAAACAAAGCAGAAATTATAATGTGTGAAACGGTAGGAGCAAAGTGTTAATTGGTATTATTAGCATGTCTGTGTCAGATTAACAAATAGATTCCAATTTGTTCAGTAATAGATCACAGATGACGTCAAAATGTGGTAAGAACAAAAAAGTGGCACATTTTGATGTCCTCTGTAATCTATTACTGAACAGACGCACGTCAACTTGGAATCTATTTGTTTTATATAATTAATAATTAAAAAAAGTTTTAACAATGACGTCATCTATACGTCTGTCCTCCAATAGATCATAAGTGAGAACCAATCAGAATGCGTGCATAACTGAGCTTATTATATAAAATATGTTGGGCTCTCTCAAAATATGTTAAGAGCACTCACCTGATAATTTCAGTTTTGGGTAGACACCAGCCATTTTTTTTGGGATGTTAAATCTCTTTTACCTAATGATGCCATTCTTTTCTCTGGAGCATAATTAAGTAAGCCTTATATTGGGTGAAAGAGCCAAAGGTATACTGGGATAGGTTAGCATCCTGTCAATTCCTCAAGTTTGTCCCAAATATCACATTTTAAATACATCTGCTCCATTTTCTGGTCACTCTTGTAGAGTTCTCCTTTGATAATATTTATAAGGAAGTCTTAACCCTTTAACTCCCATGAGTGACCAAGACAAAATTTCTCCTTACAATATCAGTACAATATCAAGCAGACAAGTGATGAGAATAAAGAAAAGTATCAGTTAGGGGATTATAAGTTGATCGAATACCAAATTCTCCAAACTAACATGACAAGAACTGTATGGCAGACAGTAAGAAGAATTACTAATGAGATCTTGGGAGTTAAGGGTGTAGAGAAAAAAACCAGGTGGCAAAGATGACCCCTTTAACCCCTCAGAGTGATCAACAACTAATTTCTCCCCATAGTAATACTGCTAAGTAATTTACGTAAGTAAGTAAGATCATGAGAATAAAAGAAATGATGGCCAACCTAAGAAGCTATGACTGATGTACAAATTCTCCTTGTCAGTACCAAAGGAATGTAATAAGAAGAACATAGAGAATATGGATACTGATGTTCGGGTGTAAAGGGGTAAAAGATTATTTCAGATCAATAGTGGCATTTTACTGATTTGTGTAATTAAGGAAACTGGCCCTTCAGAAAGGAATAGCCTATGAAAAAGCAGGCCACTAGTGCTTCTGGAGAACACTGCTCTTGAGCTACATTGCATCTAGAATACTTAAAAATGATTTTTATTTCCACTTGTAAAATATTCACCAAATTCAAGCTTTACATTAATCATTAATGCACTAAGGACTAGTCAGTTCTCATTGGTTCTGTCACATGGGAAACATTTTGTACCAACTGAGATATTGTACATCATGTATCATGCTATCCTATCATTTCACATTTTAGGGAGATGAACCTGCCGAATTTTGGAGAATTCTTGGTGGTCGTCCAACAGATGAAATTATGGTGAGTGACACACTAAGTGTCTGCCTCAATAATAACAGTTTTAATCTTATAATTATGACTAATAATAGTTGTTCTACAAATGAAAGAGTCAGAATTTAGTTTTTCGATATTAGCTTCAAGGGATGGACAAACAATCTAAGCAACCTGTACAAAGAAATTTTTTTTTAATATTTGAAAGTTATTATTTGAACTTTCAAAATTTTTTGAAATTATCTGTTCCAGACAATTACCACTGTTAAAAGAGGGGTGTTGAGTTCATTTGACCCATCCAAAATGCATTCTTAATTCATAATAATGAAGATAACCTAATGCTCGGATCATTTTCCCCAATTTTTTTTTAATTGTGGAAGAAATATCCATAGTTACTTAAAAACCATTGTCCACTTGCCCCTGCAATTTTCAATTGATTGTTTTTTGTAGGAAAAACCAGAGTACAATGAACCACCTCCTGTGCCTATTCTGTACCAAGTAGCTCTAGGACTAGGTTACTTGGAGCTTCCACAAGGTATTTTCACAATATCATGATTTTTATCCTATTGGAACTTTTTGACAAGATAGTCAGTTATAGCATACCTGTCTACACCACCTGCACATGGTAACCCTTTACATCCTAACATTGGCATCCATATTCTCCACACTGTTCTCTTTACATTTCCTATGGTACTGAGAGGAAGAAATTGATTGACAATCAGGAGCTTCTTAAATTGGTGATCATTTCCTGTATTCTCATGACCTTAAGAGGGTTAAGGGTTAAGGGTTGAACAGTGCCAACTCATTATTATTGATATCTAATGTGTGTATTTAGGGCACCACAGGTATCAATTTTTTTTTGTCTATTTTTATCTTACATATCAGTGGATACTAATGGAGGGAAATTGAGCACAAAAATGCTTGAAAATAAGCATGTCTATATTTTGGATTGTCATTCTGAGATTTTTGTTTGGTAAGTAATAGTGTCTACATCTTGGCCTTAATGTACCAGAATCCTTGTTTTAAAGTTTATTATTTCAATTGTTAATACTTTATAAAAGAAAAAAATATTTTGCAATTTTGCAATTTTTATCCTTGGTTTCAACAGTTTTCCTTTTTTTAATGTACCAAAGATTATTTTTATAATGCATCTGATATAGTAAAATTTAACCTCAAAGTGCAAAAATGGATATATACATGTAGAACTAATTATAGTTCTTTTCTCCAGGATTGGTCGCAAATCAGCTCGTCTTGTACGTGCTGCAGCAATGAAGCTCTCTCAGGAGCTTTATGCTATGATTGACCGTCCACAATTCACTGTTCAGATACGTAACCTCCAGGGGTAAGTAGTGGCTAGGCAGCCTGATCAGAATTGGATCAAAATGTCAAATGTCCAATAAAACTCCAACCAACTTGTAGTGTTTTTCTTCATCTTGGCATGTTTCTGGATGATAGATATTTCTTAAATTGGGTAATATACTTGTACATTATTTTGGGTTGTCATGTTATTTGGCCTTTTTTGTTTTGGTTCGAGTTTTCTTGAATTCTGAAGATACAATCAAGGCAAAGCAGGTAAAATAGTTGCTGTAAATACTGGCAGGGTTCATACAAGTCCTGGAAAACCTGGAAGGTCCTGGGATTTTATTTTGACATTTTCCAGGACTGGAAAGTCCAGGAAAAAGACCACAGGTCCTGGAAATTCCTTGAAATCAGCTTAACTCAACAAATAAAGTTTTCAGAATTACATTATGAGAACTATATACATACTGTAAGGAGAATTGATCCTTAAATCTTGGGAATGAAAGGGATTGACGTGAAATTTGGAGTCCTGAAAAAATCAATCTGAGTCCTGGAAAAGTCTTAGAAGAGTCCTTAATATTTGTTTCTGAAAGAGGGTACCATCCCCACATAGGTCAGTCAATAGTGAGAAGTAATGTCATTTTGGAATGAGGTGTTTCCTGTCTTGTGTGAAATCACCTTCTTCAAAAGATAATTAGTAATTTTTGTTTTAGCTTCAAAAGATAACTAGTAATTTTTGTTTTTAATTCTAGGGCTGAATCCCAAATGTTTAAAGCTCGATTTATTGGCTGGGATGATGTGCTTGCGGTGGATTACACTCTCAGTGCTGATTATGTTGCAAAGGCCTCAAAACAGCTTGGAGTCACTGTAAGTCACATAATATAAGTATCATGGAAATTTTGCTGTTTTGTAACAATAAATAAAAACTCAGAAACCATTTTGAATTAAACTTTATTGCCATAAACTTGGAATAATGGTATGTAAGGTAAGCTTGAGAATTGACAAAATAATTATTTTTAAGGGTGCCCTAATGTCTGGGAAAACAAAGAGTCTTCTTCTTCTCAATCATGTACTAAGTTATGTTGAGAAGTGTCTCAAATGTATAATCTGCTAGTTACTTCCAAATAAAATGTTCAGTGATGGATGCATTAAAACAAAGATAAACAAAGTTCTGTGAATGCATTTTCCTTATAATTAGAATGCTATTAATACTGATGACAAATAATAGTGAGAGTTTCTTTAATCTTCTTTGGTCAGAACATAACCACAAAAGAAGCACAAGCTAAGCTCCAGAAGGTTGCAAAGGTAATGTTGATGGAAGCATGATTATAAATTTAGTTGTCATTACTAATGTTGCTGGATACATTACCTTGCTGTTGAAGAAGCATTCACTCATCTGTGTCTCAATCAAATTGAAATTCACAATCTCTTAGCAGGGTTGTTGCTAGGTGCCCCATGTGAGCAAAATTAGTTCAGATGAAAAAGCCATAATTTCTGGTAAAGTAATTGCTTGGCAAAGTCAGACAGCACTTCTGAAGTTACGCACTTACTATTTTTCCATATCAAACATTATGTTTGAGTGGCCTCATGTGAAATTTCAGCCAACAGCTGAATTTCAAAGTTACAATCCTGTCCCTGGGGTGAACATCATGTTGTTTGCACTGCAACAGCACTCTCACTCAGCAGTCAGTTTGCACCAGTTGTAGGGCTTCTCTTTATTAATCATCATGGTGGAACTGAAATTATATCACATGCAAGTTTGAAGATTGACTTTACCTGTATCTCTTTGGTGATATTTATGATGATCAGCTCATCAGCTTCAGCTGCTTAACTTTGTTTACTTTCATCCACCAGGTTGATCTATCTGCTTTGTTCACTACTCGGCAACAGCCCATCCCTAATAATGAGCAGGTAATTAATTTTTTGACCTGATTTATCTGACAGGGGATTGCTTATTGATGGCATAAGCCCTTATTATTAATAGCTTTTATTCAAAACTGTTCTGTGTCCTTGAAGGAACAATATGTGGAGGAATGGAATGAAGATCTAGATGGTATGGAGTGCTTTGTTCTGGAGGGGAGGAAATTTGTCCGTCTTCCTGAAGAGGAAATTGGTGAGTCTCTTTGTTGTTTTAACCCTTTAAATCCCAGAAGTGATTAACATGTAACTTCTCCCTATAATATCCATACATTATCCAGCCACCAAGTAATGAGAATACTCAAACTTATCAGGAAGAAGTTATCGTAATCTAAAAAAAAATTCTCATAACTTATTTACAAGGAATTGTGTGTTAGTTAGAGAGGAGAGTTAACAATCAGATCTTGGGAGTTAAAGGGTTAAGGAAAGACCAGAAATAATGTTAAGTACATCGTATCACCTGGTTTTTGTACAAATGGATAACCTTGCATTGCTGTGTTCAAGTTTGTCTCTATCTATTGAGGAACAAGAATTTTGCAAAAGAAATTCATTTAGTTTGCTCTGATGCTGCATTTACAATGTTTTGGTTTTGATGTTATTATTCTGTCAGGACATTTTCATACTGGAGACTGTTATGTGTTCTTGTGTCGTTACTGGGTGCCAGTTGAACAACCTGAGGGAGAGGAAGATGATGATGAACCAGTGGAACAAGAAGAAGACTTTCAATGTGTTGTGTACTTCTGGCAGGTTATTACTGATTATGTATTCTATTTAATGTTAATATTTAATGTTGCCATGATTCCAAATGACATCAAAATATGGAGAGGACAAAAAAAATGGTACACTGCTTAAGATTCAGCCATTTGATTTACAATGATCTTAAAAGCTTTACTTGGTAGAACATTTTCCCTCATTCACTATTCAGTTGCCTGTTTGTTTTCATTTTGATTTTACAGGGAAGAGATGCAAACCAGATGGGTTGGCTGACATTTACATTCAGGTAATACTTCCTAAAGGAGTATGTTAATGATTTGTTGACTTATTGGTACATCAGTTTACCAAATTTTGATTTACTTTTAAAACCTTAATCAGGAGTGGTCACTTGAATGTGACGTCTGAGCAATCAGCAGAGTTTGTTGTATTTGATGCCTGAGCAGTTAAATTCATAGAATGTAACTTGACACCAATCTAACAGTGATTAATTTTTCTTTTCCAGTCTTCAGAAGAAATTTGAGTTGTTATTTGGTGAAAAACTAGAGGTTGTGAAGACACAGCAGGTACGACGTATTCTGAATCAAAAAGTTAAGTAGTGTAGATCAGATCTTTAATTTAATGATGACTGACCAACCAAGTGGATGCTCAACAGTCTTCAATATCTGTGCTTTTGTGTATTTTTCAGCAACAAGAGGCCCCAAGATTTCTAGCTCATTTCAAAGGAAAGTTCATCATTCACAAGGTAAAAGTATAATTTATGCTTCAAGTGGGGAAAGGATTCCATCCATTGATTATTTTTTATTGAAACTAGGAATAAAGTGTTTAAGTTAAGTGGTCTCAACCCTTTACATCCTAACATCATTATGCATATTCTCCATACTGTTCTCTATACAATTGCTAAAGTGCTGACAAGGAGAATTTGCTTAACAGTCAAGATCTTCTCTGTCATTTCCTCTATTCTTGCGACCTTAATGTGACCTCACTTGATCTATCAATAGGGAAAACGCAAGGAGCCAGTGAAACCAGAAGAAAAGAATAAACCTCAGTTCTACCATATCCGCTCCAGTGGCGGCATTCTGGCCAAGAGAGTGATTCAGGTACAAAAAGAAGATCACTGCTATGGGTTAGCATTTTCAATAAAAAGAAAAGAACTTCCTGACATTTTACATTGTAGTCGTCAGAGATAGCATCACTTGTAAATTTAGATTGCTCCTTAACTCTTTAAAAGATGTAATATAAGTTATTATCAATGTTAATCAGACATTTATACAGTTACTGTCTTGCTTGCTTCCTTCAAGTGTATTTTGAATCCTAATTTTTGTTGTTGTTCAGTAATATCCATTACTGTAGGTAACAAGTATATGTGGGTACATTTTATGCTGGTTTTTCTCCTGCTTTCTGCAGTCCTTTGGCCTCTTTAGGGGTATAGCATGGAATTTTTAGGGGAATTGAAACTCAGGGTACTTACATAACTCTTCACTTGGATATCCATTCTGTGTTTTCTCAAGCAACACTTTTGCCCCATTCACACCAGCAAAACATGTTCAATTAAATTTGGTTTAAATGAATGAAAATCAGAAACAGAAATGAAAAGTTGAATTTCCCATAGGATTCAAGTCATCTCTAATTTGTATTTTCAGTGTGCTAAATTTGAACATGACAAAGATCATTTTAAGCAGTTTTAATGAAGAGAACAATTTTTAACCCGTGTTAAACATGTTTGAGCTTTGGTGTAAATGTGTTATTTATTGTATATCATGAGCATTGAGTGTTGCTTTTTATCACCCTAATTATCAAGTTGCAAATTTCTGAATTGAACTGAAAAATAAAAAACCTTATCTCAGGGAGGAGCTATGTCCCTGCTTTTTCAATCCAATTGTGAGTCATGCAGCATCAAAATGCTTCCTTAGCCCTTGTTTGACTTAAGTTTTACACTGAGGTATCTCACAAAATCATAGCGTTGTGTATCTTATCAAAAATGATGGTTGTTGCTTTTATTATTTAATCTTCAGATTGAAACTGATGCTAGACATCTGAACTCTGAATTCTGGTAAGCCTCATCTTTGAATTTTTCAGCATGAAGTAGTAAATTGTGGTCAATGGAGTTACTACAGCTTACTGGAGCACTGAAGGGTTATTTCTTCCAGAGGTTACCATTATAGTAATGCTGGCTGTAGGCTTGTGAAGACAAACTTAATTTTCGGAAAGTAGCAGACATGAGAATGGTTAAAAACTATAGTTAGTAATTATGCAGTTACAAAAAAAATTCTCAACTCAGTTATGAATATTCTATTTTCCAGCTACATCCTGAAAGTTCCATTTGAAAATTACTCTGAAGATGGAATCATATATGTATGGATTGGCAGGTATTTCTCTCTAACCTTGTGCTGAATGGTTTGTTTCCACTGTTTTGTTCTCTCTTTGAAATTAACCTGAATGTTTCTTTTAAACAAACAGCAAAGTCTCAGAAAGTGAAGCTGATCATGCCAAGGAACTCGGAAATGAAATTTGGGATGTAAGTCAGAAAACTTCTCAAATTTAGATCTTATTTAGGACCCACTCCACAGAAAGAAGTTGGTTTTGAGAGATTTTTGTCATGTTGACTTGTCCAGGTTACTGTTCTTTACCTTTGACGAACAGATTACCTGTGGTGGCCCATGTTAATTTTGTTTTTGTTACATTTGTCTTCTTTGATTTTATTTTTTTCTTGTGTGTATCTTAGAGTGGCTACACAGTTCAAATTGTCAATGAAGGAGATGAACCAGAGAACTTCTTCTGGGTGGGTCTTGGAGGAAAGAAAGACTATGATAAGGTGTGTGTTTCACTACCTAAAACTTTATTTAGTTTCAGAGGGACTATATCTTTATCAAGAAGCTTTGGGGTTCAGGACCTGCTTGTTTGACTGTTGGATAAGGCTATCCACTGGAGTGAAGTGAAGGAACAAAAACTTGTATGAAACAGAATGGATGGGCGCTACATTTAAGCATTGGAAAGTGGATTTCAGGGTAGCAAAATGTGCTCTTATAATAAGCAGTTGGTTTGCGCTTCCCAAGAATCACATAGAAGATAAATTTTTTTTCTGATATTTGCAGATAACTTGGTCTGTTTCCCAAGGTTAATTTTAGATTTCCTTTGCCCTCCCATAGAGGTCAGATTTTACTGTTAGGGATCATGTTTCATATGTGTTTTTTGCCTGTATCTTTGCAGTCTGCAGAGTACATCAATTATGCTCGTCTGTTCCGCTGCTCTAATGAAAAGGGGTACTTTTCAGTCTCTGAAAAGTGTTCTGATTTTTGTCAGGTGAGACTGTAAATAGCTGTATGTTTACTTAACTAGGGCTGCAAAAAGAAGACAAAGTATAGAATTCTCTAAAGCTAGATTCTTGTTAAGGAGAAGTGTCAATAGTATTTACTTGTTTTATATGAATTAATATTTTTGTGTCAAAAAATTGGTACTATGTAGAAAAGAAACTATGGAGAAAAATTCACAGAAATGTGTTAATCTTTACCATACTAATGGAACTGATTTGAACTTTTCCAGTGGTATTACCATTTCTAAACCTGTACTTACCTAACTTTTTTGTTTGTTTGTTTGTTTATTTACTTTGGTTTAGGATGACCTAGCAAGTGAAGATGTTATGATTCTTGACACTGGACATGAGGTATTGATGGCAATAATTGGCAGTTTTTTACAGTTTGAAATTTAGTTGTTTAACTCTTTAACTCTGAAGATCTGATTGTTAATTCTCCCCTCTAGCTGCTACACATTTCCTTGTAAATAAGTTACAAGAATTTGGTGTTCGATCAGGATAACAACTTTTACCTGATAAGTTTGAGTATTCTCATTACGAGTTTGCTGGATAATGTATGGATAATATAAGGAGAAGTTACATGTTAATCACAGTTTTCTACAGTGTAAAATTCAATTGGTTAAGTACTGTTTTTTTTGTCTTAAACTGATGATCAGAGCCATATTGACATGATTAATAGACCCGTAATATTTTAATTGATAAATGCCCAAACTGTTAAATTGTGTCAAGTTTATCTATTGTCCGACAAAGCAGATGCAGTCAACTTTTAACCATGTAACAGACAAACTGTAAACCCATTTCATTCTTCAGGTATATGTTTGGATGGGACCTCAGTCCAGTGATGTTGAAAGGAAGATGGCCATCAAAAGTACACAGGTATTTTTATCAACACAACACTGTCAGTGCACTTGAAATGTCAGCTTTACAGAGCTCTTTACCATGGCCACCTTACATTATCAACTCAGTTCATTAAACCAATTAATCTTGTAATACCCACCTCTGACACAGCACTACAGTTTTAAAAAAGTGATCACTCCCCCTTTTTTATGCTCACTGCAGTTTAAAAGGGGGGAGGGGGGGAAGGTACAGACCTCTTCTTTCAAAGTACAAGCATATAGAGGTTAAATTAGGGGTGCTTCTAAGATGCTTTGGTGTTGCCATGGTGACTTTCTGCATCAAGGAAACATCTTTATTTGTTTCATGATGTTTGGGGTTTTGTGCAATGATATTTTCAATTATCCCTCTGTAAAAGATTATGGTTGTAATCCTTCAAAAGTAAAGACTGAAATTATTACAAGTGAAGAAAAACTGTTATTGCAATATCTTTGTTAGGTTTATATTCAGCATCTTATGCAGCTTGACAGTGGTCCAATCAGGAAGCTGCGCTGCACCTTCAGAGGGAAAGAACCACACCACTTTACCAGATGCTTTCATGGCTGGGGCCAATTTCACGATCCAAAGATGTAAAATTTTGCAATTTAGTAGCCCTGAGCCACACGGAAAAGACATTGACAAGCCATCTTTGAACACAATGGGTTTTCCTATCATACTTCTTTCCTGCCAAGAAAAAGTTGTTGAACACACATTTACAGGAATTAATGCTCGACAATAGTATGGCTGCCTTAATTCTGCAAGCTACATTCTTAACTTTGGACAATGTGGTGCTGTTTATCACTCTGCAGGTTCAATGATCATTAAAATGCTAGTCTCAGTTTTTCTCTTATTGAAGGAATGGAATGGGTATAAATCTGCAAGCAAAGTATCAGGGAAACATAAAGAAATGGTATGGAAAATGAGGGAGGTAATCTAAATTGGAGCAATGTCCAAAGAACTTTCAAATCCAGTTGACTTTGGCATCATATTTTCACTGGCAAGAACAAGTTCTTTCAGTTTTGCAACACCTGATAAATGGAAAGTACTCCAAGTGTCAAAATGATTCTCTAAGCAACTCCACAGCCTTACACCTGTTTCTACAGTAAATCTCTTGAAGAAAATAAACCATTTTGCATTATTTAACATAGAGTACAATAGACTTTGTTTAAATTGATCTTTATTGATAACAAAATGAAGTTACTCTTGTTGAGAAGGTTAACACACTTTTTATGTCAAGATTTACAAAAAAACGTGTAAATATTTCTGTGAAAGTGTAATGAATGTAGGTTAATCCTTGCACTTAGAAAGTTTTGAGCCTTTGAAGCAATTTATTAAATGGAAAAACTGCAAAGGAACATCTTGGTCTATTGCATACAAGTATTCATTATTTTGTTGCTGCACACAATTCTTTATACTTTTTACTCTATTGCATTTATTTATTAACTGCATATGATTTATGCCAGAGTGTTTTTTTAATAACCTATAAAAATAATACGACTCAATCACTCAAACCAGCCTGATTTTTAGAATTTCCTTGCAGCTTGATGATAGACCAAACATACTGCTACGGCATACTTTGTCATCCCCAAAGGATGTTAAGAAAACAACATCCTTTTTACACTTCTCTCAGTATTAAAAATGACAAACAATTAAAAATGATACATATTACTTTACAATTCCAAGTCATTGATCCACTGATTGCTTAAGAAGCCACCAAAAAAAATACAACTTTATACCAATTCTTTTTAAAGTTAAATATAATTATAATTATTGTAATTTTTAGGGTGGATATACCACAAATTAATACTGTTACTAGGAAAGACACAGTCCTTTCACTGCACCCTCAGTTCAATAACCTTTTTCCCAAGTTTCAATATGTATTACCAGTTACTACTTCTACGATAAGTACCTAGTTTGCAACACCTGCTTTGGATATCAGAAATGTTTGTGTACCTCTTACTAGCCAAGTTCAAAGTCTTGACTGTAAATTATAGACCAAATTTTTTCCTGCTCAGACTTGTGGCCCAATTGCAAGGCAGAAAAACTTGTCTCCATAGCTTACAATATGGACTTAGAAATCGAGGTCAATAGGACATTAACCCTTTAAGTCCCACAAGTGACCTTGACAGAATTTCTCCTTACACTATCAGTACGATATCAAACAGACGTTAATGAGAATAAAGAAAAACATCAATAAGGGGATTATTAGTAGATCCAATTCCAAATTCTCCACACTAACATCACATGAATTGTATGGCAAAAATTAAGGAAAATTACTAAAATGAAATCTTAGGAGTTAAAGGCCTAATTATATATTGTAGCTCCACATAGAAGAGGAAGATTCCAATTCAAAAGCTTTTGGATGTAAAACACACTTTGATTAATTGACCAATCATAGCATACATACTTATGAAGAGATACGATAATTAGTCATTAGGATCAAATCTGAGTTTCAACAGGTACATCATGGTAAAGATAACACTTATTAGATACAGTTAAAAAAACTGATTAAAAAATATACAAACATTTTAATCTATGTCATAGGAATAACTAAGTGTATTACTTTTGCAAAATAAAAATAATGGATCAATGGGGTAATTTCTAAGGCTTAAAAATATATCTTAACTATGGAAATTAAACAATTATTGTTTTATTTGCAAAATGACCCTCAAGAACAATGATAAAAACGGCAAATAAAACTTCACACTTACAAGGAAATGGTGACAAGCTAAATTAATGTACATCTGGTGTGAATTCTATTTGTTAGGTGGTAAGATTCTTTGAAATATCAGTAAAACTATATCACCATCTAACGACAAATTTAAACAAGGACATTTTAAAGTGTTTCATTGAAGGAACTACAAACTGTGAATTCTATTTACAAAGAATGTTGGAAAACTTTGGGCCAGTTATTTTAACTAGTCTTCATCATCTCCAATTCAGCTGACCATCGATTTTGAACAGCTATCACCTATAAAGAATCTTTCATTTGATTGATTGTCTAAGGCTGCTTTCTAAGTTTAATTTTGTTAAAATAACTGGCCCTGAATGTTTGATTTCTATTCTATTTATGTTTGGTTAGGTGTTGGGGCAGTTACATAGTTTGAAGGAAAGATTCCAATAGCTCCATTGACTTGTCCCTTCCACCAATCAGGATTACTTTTATCCAACACTGTTATCCACTGACCTGCCGTGAAACTCAGCTCATCTGTGTCTTGCGCAGCAAAATTAAACAAGGCCTGCACCATCTCATCCTATTTTATAAAGGGAAAGAATCATTCATTTGACCCTTTGATTCCCAAGAGTAAGAAGTAAAATAATACACCAGTTTTACCGATGAAATTTTGACAATTTTAAGCATCATGTTTATGTAATTGGAAAGTTTAAGTCAACATTTGCAGTTTCTTTCGTGTAGGCTACTGGATAGATGTTTCAGTAAAAGCTGGTTACTGGTGGACAAACACCACTTGTAGGAACTCTCAGGGCCATTGGTTTAGTCTGTGGGCAGGGTTCACAGGTTTGGGATTTGCCACACAGCTCTCTATTATTTTATTGGCAGCTGCTACAAGAATTTAGTGAAACCCCTGCAACTAGATTCTTTTTCTTTCGGAAAATATGTCAACTGTCTTTTTTTTTCCTGATTAAACAATGGGTATTTGAGACTTATGGTTTTAATCAATAAGTAACAGGACTTTTTGTCATCCAGTTCTGTCTTAAGTACTGACACTAAAATAATCAAGCAATCAGACTTGTGTTTTTACCATTATTAAATACACTGCAAGGAATACTCTGATGATAAGGAAATTTTAAAAAATCACCAACCAAGGAACATTGTTCACAGGATAGATCACCAAATTCTTAGGTCGGGCCAATATGGATAACGTTAAAGGCACACATGTAACTTACTCTTAAGTCTGTATCACTGAGGAATATTTGTTGATTGTTGCTGACTGAGTTTGTTTTGTGGTGCTCTACCAACATGTTGAGAGATGAAAACTTTCTTATCCACAAATAGTACTTCCTCTCCTCATTTTTAAAAATTTTGAAGTGCTGAACATGGTCACCAGTTCTGATGAAGAGAAATTTTTTATTTGTTATAAAAGCTTTGACCACCTGACTTTATTAACTAAGTATATAGACAAACTAAACTTGCACCCACAGGAAATGCTGTGGTGACCACTAAATACAAGTTGATCACCTATGACAGGTTCCACAATAGAGAGGTATCATTAATAAAAGACATTTTATTTAATAAAATGTACAAACACACTCTTGAAAATACTACTAGCATTGATTTCGGGAGATGAACATGGATTAAATATGCTTGAGTGACCATTCAGCACAGGTGGAAGACAATACAAACAGGCTTTTGGGACTTGGGTAAAGGGGACTGCCACAGTCTAATAGAGGTGACAATTACTAAAAGTGTTTGAGAGAAAAGAATTTTGTGACTGACAACTTAGCTCTTAATACAGGGTGACTGCTTAATCCTTTAACTTCCAAGATTCCATTATAATTTCTCCTTACTGTCTGCAAATAGTTCATGTGATGTTAGTTCAGAGAATTTAGTATTGGATCAACTAATAATCCCCTAATTGAGATTTTTCTTTAATTATTCTCATCACTTGTCTGCTTGATATTGTACTGATATTGTAAGGAGAAATTCTGTCTTAGTCACTCACAGAAGTTAAAGGGTTAACAAAGAGCCACTTAATGCAGGTTTGACTGTGGTAACTTAAGAAAGATGATATGTACAGTGTGCTAAGTGTTCTCCTGTGATCAAAGCTATTTAGGGTGACCACAGGAAGAAACAGAGATGCAATGGACATTGTCCCTGAGTCCTGATCTTGTTATTTAGGAATTATTCCATATTGAGCTTATGTTAAGTAAATAAATGATGGATTAAGTATGCATAATGAGATTTAGTATATGACCTGGTAACCAGAATTGAGTTACCTAATTATACTGTTAACACTCAAAAACAACATTCAAAGCCAAGAGTTTATTTTTTGTTTTATTCCAAGTACCTGGATGGGTACTGGTTATTTTTCACAAAACCTGAGCTAATGTAGTGGGTGAACAGCAATGTAACAACATTCAATCTAAATACAGAAGCAAACTATTTACCAATCATCCTAAATAGGAGTTTGAAATACATTTCTAATGATATTCCCACATCAGCTGCATTGGCAGGCATTCACTTTTGTTTGGTGGCTGAATCCCAAACTTACAGTAGCAACTATAGATTAGTGAGGTGGAGTGTTGTGCTAAAGGGGTAAGTTGTGTTGTCAAGTTGTCATGGCACAAAAGAGCCTTATCTCTATTAATCCCTAACCATTCACTGACCTATAGAATATGCTGTGTTTTACTAATTCGTTTATAGGTTTTAAAAATTCAGTGATAAGGCAGAAATATTGCAAGATCATCCTTACCTAACAGACAGAGAGAAGTCTCCTGAAAAGTGATAACATCAAAAGAATTAACAACAGAGCAAAAAGAACACCCATATCCTAAATTATCTTATAGACACTCCTTCTTAACCTTTAACTCCCATGAGTGACCAAGAGAGAATTTCTCCTCACTACATTTATACAATATCATGTAGACAGGTGATGAGAATAAAGAAAAATATCAATTATGGGATTACTAATTGGTCTGATACCAAATTCTCCAAACTAACATAATGAGAATCATTTGGCTAACAGTAAGGAGAATTACTAATGAGATCTTGAGAGTTAAAGGGTTAAATAAACACCCCTTATCTAACAACACCCCCCCCTTGCTGCTATGCTTTTAAGAGACCCATCACTGATAAACTCACTCTGCAATAGACACCCCCCTCAAACATAAATATATATATATATATATACATTATATATTATTCCAAACAGCATGACAGAGCAAAATCAGTAAGTTTTCTCAGTTTCTTCCTTGACTAGCAATGGTTTGCATGTTTTGCCTTGTTCATGGTCAGGTGTAAAGTAGAGGCATATCACTGGCTATGCTAAATATGCCCAACTATTTGAAAGTCAAACTGAACCAGAACCATGATTGACATTTACAAGAACTATATGGAAAACAGTTACTAGTAATGATAATTTGTGATCTCTTAGAGAAGAGTCAACAAAAAGGCAAAAAGACTGCCTAGATTTGTGACAACCCATAGCATGCAATTACCAATTCATTGAAATAAGAATTTTGCATTTTATTGTATGATTGATTGTAATATTTTTTTTTTTTGCAAGAATAAGTTAATTGTGAACCATTGTTAAAGTAATCAGTTCCCCAAAATCAGATGGAGGACATCAGTGCTAGTGATATCCTTTCACTAGAAAGGATATCAGGATAAAGAATAAACAGAAAATCCTCTGTAAAACAAAGGGAGTGATGCAAAAAAGCCTGTGAGACTACAGTGAGCTCTTCCCTCACAAAAAACATGATCAAGGCCACAGAAGGAAGAGGGTACAACTTCTTCTATCTAAAATATAATAGCCATGGTCCCAAGAGGGGCCATTTAAATATCGCATAGACATGACTGAACTGACCAATACCTGGTGAGCTCTCACTCTCTCGGATGAGAAAGGCACCTTCATGTTGGACCTGCAGAAGTGCTTCTTCTGCTTGTCTTCTTGTTATTTTACCATGGAACCAGCTACAATAACATTTCAGTACAGTCAGCAACAACAACAAATACATATTACAATGTTCTTAAGTTATACCTTTTCTACATTCACTTCTTGGGTGCCAATTTGAGGGCCACAGGTACAAAAGTTGATCTCACACAAAACCATACCTGCTGATCAAATTCTTATGCCTATAGAAATATTTGTGCTACTGCCACTTTTATCAATACATTTAAAGTATGAGTAGCATGAATGTTTTCAAGAAAAGATCAGGTTTTTTAATGATTCTTTTTTTTCAAAAGCCTCCAATTTAAGAAGAAGAGCAAACTCTTCACCAAACCCACAAATATTTTTAGTACATGATGCTAAATCTTTGGAAATTTCAGAAATGACCGAGTCTTCTAAAATTGGTAGGTATACAAAACAGCTGTAAAAATCTGGAATTCCATCCCTTCCCAACAATCAACACAAAGGTTATGGTCTTTGATGACTGACCATATAGGTGAAAGGTTTGTCTTATACCTGAGACCTTAGTTAAACTGTCGTAGTGGCGATCGAGGACCTCACTTCAAGTTCAGCAAGGAGTGAAAACAAATTAGTTCTAGTTGCTTCTTTTCCCCCTTGAAAGCAAAATTGAAAATTCCCCTCACACAGATGACAACATGAGGTTCGCGTGCATTTCAAGCAAAAGTTGCAAAAGAAATAAATGAGAAAACCAAAAGTGCCATTAATTTCTCGATCAAATTATTCAGCAGAGACCCTGAAGCTGTCATAAGTACAATGTTCATTCGAAGAGACAATTGTGTTGTGGAAATATGAGCTGTAATGCGTGCGATATGCGTATTGGATTGTTTCTGTTAATTGTAAATCTCTCAACGGCTCAGCACCGCTTAGTGCACAATCAAAATGCAGAATTACACGCACAATATTGCAGAATATCAGACGGAGCTTCGAATTGATCAATTGATCAGTCGCTCGATTTGAAACGACGGAAGTCAAATCAACTGAGGGGAACTTCCTGACCTATTAACTTGAGAAAGGAGATCATTTCATTCAAAGAATTTGTCCCACATTTCATAACAGCACATTCGACGTTTCAAATCACAAGTTAAAAAAACATTGAAATTCACTCGTGAATCGAAACAAAAACTTAAAAATGAAACTGTCACATCGATCTTCGGGTAAAATTTGAGCATACCTGTGAGGTCTCATCGTTATATAGGTGTTTGGAATCCAACCTTCTTGATCGTTTTGTTCTGCTTTATACCAATTTCTGTCCTCATCTTTGTCTAAGATCTGAAAATAAATGATATTTGGCTGCAAAATGATGCATAATCAAAGACTGAAAACCTGAAAGTCGAGTGCCAATAAATTATTTGAGTTTACATATTAAAAGAAACCCTGTTTACATTCAGAACGCTGCCTTTTTCGAAGGAGAGTTCGTCATCTTGAGAAGCAGTAAACTTATATTTCGCCACGGCCTCCATCGACAAAATTTCCTGTCTTCAACCAGCAAAATGATTCACCGAGAATATAATGGGTCTAGTTTAACACCGCCAAAATTCAACGCAACATGAAAACTGCTCATCTTCGATATGATTAATGCAGGAAGTGAACAGTAGGTTTTGGGACAAACAACTCGTTACCAGGGAAACTCGGCCAAAAAATACGATTTCCTTTTATAGCAAAAAATTTTAAATGGCTGAGTTAGATCCCACGTACGAGTCGATTGAATTACCAGTCAGCTGACAAAAAGCTTCAGTTTATGGTTATCGAAGGTCATATCTCTCTGGGAAATTGCGACAAGAATTCTTATTTAGTGACTCATCGGTGGGGTAGGTATTACTTCCGGTTCGGAAAGGGTGAGTTTCGTGCGGGTGAAGAATAAACAAAAAGAACAAAACATGATGTTGGTTTACTCTCTAAGAAACATAGGAATTTCATGAGGTTTTCACCGTTTAATCGTGCCACTTAGTATGGTATATTGCATGGCAAGATTTTTCAACAGTTTAGCTGCTTGTCCCAAAGAACGCCAAATCTAATTTTCGTACCAAGATCCTACCGTGTAACTGTAACTGAAGGGCGTGGAAGGTACGAGACTAAGCCAAACCGAGCATAATACGGGGAGGGGGAGGGGGGAAACTAACTGAGGGTCACTCACCAGTAGTCAGAATTGGCCAGTCTGACCTTTCAATGCAAGATTGGCCAAAAAAAAAAAATACTCGAAAGTTACGAGAATTTAATTTATGCAATCTTTCACGAAAGTTGAGAACTAGCCCCGTTCACTAGGGTTTACTGAACGACATTTAAGAAACAAGCGGTAGAGTTGTTTGTCTGAACTATTCAATCACTTGGCTCACTTTTGTAGTATTCACTTAGTACAACAAATATGCAAGAGCTACTTTTATCACATGGAAAAGGACGCTCGATTTTATGCGAGTGAATAACATAATTATTGGTTATTGCTATGTGATAATCAGAAAGTCAATCAATTCGTGTAGCTCAAGTGTTCATTGTCTTTTGATGGCTAGACTTCTTCTATAAATCTGTCAAAAGGGTAGTAGATACGCTACTATCACGCAACATGTAGTCTCCGACACAATTTTATTCCTTTTTATGCAAACAGCACCAATGGCGATCTGCTCCACTTTCGAAGAGGATGACACGGAGTCATTGAAACAGCATGTGACGTTTCCTTTTTTAAATTTCCTCTAGTAATAGGAGAAGAGTAAATTCAATTTGGAAAATGACTGACTTATAACTGGTCTGAACAAACATTTCTCTTTGCGAATAAGCCAATATGGCAAAACTGTTACGACTCCTCTGCAGATATTTTTGTGTCGAAGGCATAAATAAGGAGAACAGCTGTCGCGTTTACGATGCAATAGCCGGAAGTGCTTTCTCAAACACTGAATTCCGCCTTACGATGGTCCGAGGAGCCCTGGAGTGCAACAGGGAAAAAATCAAAATATAACGTTTGGCTGTGGAGACACGTCAGTAAATACCTCGCTAATTCTAAAAAAAAAGGCAACGACAAAAGAGCAGACCAAAAGCTGACGAAGGGTACCAGTGGGGATTTACTACTTTATACCTAAAGAAAACAAACATCGATGAAGAGGTAAAGGAACAGAGAACGTGAATGAGTCAGAAACTCGTTCCTCCTTTCCTGTACCCCAGTGATCAAGCTCAAAATTAATGAATCCTGTTACACAAACCCCAATCAAAATAAATCGATCGCGTGACAGACGTAAGCGAAGAGCGTCACACAAACTAGTCAGAATAACACTGTTTCAAACTCCTTTCATCATGTCTCCTCGATAACACCTCTCTATTGCTTTAAATCCTAGAGACAGAAAAATAAAATGTTCCCTTACAATAAGATAAGGGTCTATCTTCTTTAGCTAAGCAACAACATCACATTTGCGGCGGCGAAGAAGACTTCAATCCTTATGAGGCCATATAAGGCCGAAGCAATTTAAATTACTAAATTTGGCGTCATACACTTGCGCACAAAGTGAAAAAAAGAAAAACTGGAAAGATTTAGAACGACTGATTTTATTCGCATCCAGTTTCCTAATCAAAATACAACAATACCTACTTCTATTGAAATGTCGCCCTTGAAACAATTTGGAACGACAAAACCCTGCTTAACTGAAATTTTGATTGACTGCTCCATACAGTAATCATTGACTGATCCTTATCCTTAGTCCATTCCATAATTCAAGTAACCTTAAATTTTAAAATGAATCACCGTATCGATGAATGTCGAGAAAAACTACTAACGAAATTCTTTAAGACGTTGTTGTCAGCTGTAAGATTCTTTGGTTTGAAATATACTATTTAATCGAGAGAATGTAAAGAAGAATGAAAAGTCAGAATGGTGATGAGGTTTCTCAAACCAGTCCTTCATCGATCATAGCCTGAGCCACTTTAACAAATCCACCAATATTTGCTCCTTTCACGTAATCCACAGATCCATCCGGCCCTGTGCCGTACTTGACACACTGTAGGTTGACTTGCTTCATAATGTGCTGCAATTTGGCATCCACCTCCTCTCTCGTCCAAGCACTTCTCAGGCTATTTTGGGTCATCTCTAAACCAGACACTGCCACGCCCCCAGCGTTTGATGCCTTCCCTGGACCAAACAACACCTTGTTTTTCTGCAACACTCTCACCGCCTCTGGCTGTGTTGGCATGTTAGCACCTTCAGCCACGCATATGCATCCATTCTTAACCAGTTCCTCGGCATCTTCTTTTCCAACTTCGTTCTGCGTAGCGCACGGAAGAGCCACATCACATTTGACACCCCAGGGTTTCTTTCCCTCCAAGTAAGCCACTTTGTAATGTTTAGCGTACTCGCTAATTCGCCCACGTCTGACATTCTTCAGCTCCAATACATACGCCAACTTCTCTGGTGTGATGCCGTCTGGATCATGAATGGTCCCCGCCGAGTCTGACAGAGTTATGACCTTGGCACCGAGTGCAGTTGCTTTCTCGCATGCGTACTGGGCGACGTTTCCAGAGCCAGAGATAGCAACCGACTTGCCTTTGATGTTGTCACCTTTAGAAAAAAGCATCTCCTGAACAAAGTACAGCAGACCATAGCCAGTGGCTTCCGGCCTCAGTAGGCTTCCACCCCACGGAATTCCTTTCCCGGTCAGCACACCAGTGAACTCGTTTCGGATCCGCTTGTACTGCCCAAACATGTACCCTATTTCACGCCCCCCTACACCAATGTCACCAGCAGGGACATCCGTGTTTGGGCCCACGTGCCTTTGGAGCTCGGTCATAAAAGACTGGCAGAAACTCATCACTTCGTTGTCGGTTTTGCCCTTGGGATCAAAATCAGAGCCGCCCTTTCCGCCGCCCATAGGAAGAGTTGTAAGACTGTTCTTCAGGATTTGCTCAAATCCTAAGAACTTTAAAATCCCCAGATTGACTGACGGATGGAATCGAAGACCACCTTTGTAAGGACCAATGGCGGAGTTGAACTGCACTCGGTATCCACGGTTCACATGAATGTCACCTTTGTCATCCCTCCAGGGAACTCGGAAGATTACCACTCTCTCTGGCTCAACCAACCTTTCCAGGATGTTATGTTTGTCGTACTTGGGATTCTTTTGAAGAAAATCCCACAATGAGTCGACTACTTCTTCCACTGCTTGATGAAATTCGTCCTCTCCTGGGCTTCTCATTTTGACGTATTCCAGGAACTCTTCGGGTGAGGCGTACTTCCCTTCCATTTTACTGTTAAAGTTAAACACAAAAGTAAATAAAAATATTTCAGTTAGTGTTCAAGCCTTGTGTTCCTCCCGACATGATGGGTATTGAATAGATGGATCAAAGTCACTATCTGAGAAACTGCGTACCAATCCCTCCCCCTACCCAACAACAGACAACTGATAACATGTTAGGTCAATGTTGGGTTAGGGGAGGGGTAGAGGCGCAGTCGCTCAGATATTAAAATTGATCCGAATCGAGTTTTCGACTAGTACTTCCTTGTATTTTAAAACAATTTAGAGTCGAGCAAAATCGATTCAAAATGACAGACCGGGGATTATTTGAACAAAAATGACGGGAGGTAAGTATGATTTAAATTTTTATTGAAAGATTATTCTTAATTTTCTTTTTTTTTTAATTGAGTGGTCCCGCTTTTAGTCACCGTTCAAGACAGGTGGAGGACAATACAAACAGGCCGTTGGGACTCAATTAATCCTTTACACCCGAACATCAGAATTCATATTCTCCATACTGTTCGTTGTACATTTACTAAGGTGCTGACAAGGAGAATTTGTCTAATAATCAAGTGTTTTTTAACTAGTGATCACTTCCTTTATTCTCATGACCTTAATGATATTGTAAGGAGAAATAAGATGCCAGTCACTCTTAGGGTTTAGAGGATTAAGGGTGACTGCTACCTCTTAACAGAGGTGACCGCTTAATAGATTAAAGAATTACAGTCATTAAGGTTCGACTGTAATGATATCAGAGTTCTCCCACGCCCCACGTTCCCACGGAACCGTCCGTTGGAAAACCAATAGGAAGCTATTTCTGTCAGTCTTCTGTACATACTTCGTGGTTCTTTTACCCCAATTTTTTTGATCCGGTCTTAACCCTTTACACCCTAACATCAGTATGCATATTCTCCATACTGTTCTCTATACATTCCCAAAGGTACTGACAAAGAGAATTTGTCTAACAATCAAGACCGTCTTTAGTTGATGATCTTTTCCTTTTTTCTCATGACCTCAGTGTTTGTTTTAGGAGTGATACTGATGGTTAGTAATCACTCTTAGGGGCTAAAAGCTTAAATAATTCGAGTTTTATACGATCTCAAGCAATGGAGGCGTCTTTGTCATTCTTGTTTATGTCACGAAGGTGTTCTCATAATCGGTCACCTAATCTTCTTTCTTGTTTCGCCGATGTAAAACTTTTTATAAAAAGTGCATATTATGCAATATATGACATTGATGGAGGTACTGGTAAAATGATCAGTAACCCTAATGAACCAGACGCGTCCCAATAATTTCTCAACGTTATGAATGAAAGGACAAGTTTTGCGTCGTGTATGCGCTCATTTTAAGGTTCATGGTTGGTCGTCTCATTGGAGTGCACTTCTGACCAAAAAGT